GCCTTTAGGGTTTTTATTAGCTACATGTAAGCTATCGAACGCACTATGACTCGTTGGAAAAGCGATTTCCTAATTGGCGTCATCTCCTTGTCAGCAACACTCCGGCTTCCGATGTACTTTTCTCTCTAACTCTTACAGCTTCAGAAGTGGAATTAATAAACTCATAATGTTTCCTCATTAAAGTTCGGGATCGATGATTAGTTCGGAGCTGCCATTATTTGAAATTATTCAGATTCGTGAGAATTTGAAGTTGGTATTACTATTAGTGTTTAGCGTCCTTAGAAATATCGTGCAAGAGCCGGTAGTCGGTTATTATTTGTTTGGTGGTTTGGGTTATGGCTCCAGATAAAGGATACTTGGCGGTGAGCGGATATTAGACACGTGTTAAAGTTTATGATTAGTAAAAACACATTTCGTTTTTGACATTATCAATCAAGAGTTTTGCGGCAAGGGAAACTCTTAATTTGATTCTATAACATTTGCCATCTTAAAGCACGTACAAAATACATTATATCACTATCTATATAACGTAAAAATTATACAGTACGTAAGATATGTGACTGTATAAATCCAAATAGTGTAAAATGTCTTGAGGTACACTCATACTGAGTGTATTCAGAGACCGTATTCTTAACCGTATTCTTGCATATGATATTTCGATAGAGCTATAGTGTACGTAACATGAACTATAGCTTTTCATAGAGATATCGTATGCGATATTTTTCGAGAATGAGGACCCATCCTGGGACTCTCTCTAGCCATTTTAGGCACATTCAGAATGATTCTGGGATTTGTATAGTTATTTGGAAAATTATCGCGAGAGCTTAAATCTTATCAGTAGTAAGTATATTTTACAAATATGATTTCAATTAAATTATATCACATAATTAACTTTCAAACTAAACTCATGTGTTCATAATATTCAAGCGGTTACCAGCGGTTACAATTTCAATTACCAGAAATTCCTCGAAAACTTGCAAATCTTTATATATAGATTTTCTGTGAGAAAAATGTTTGTGATAAGGAGACTTTCCACATAGCAAGTAATATTACAGTAATATTATATTTTTATTACAATATTACAATAAAATGTAGCAAAAATATTACTGTAATATTACTGAGATACCACAGTAATGTTACAATGTCCGCGAAAACGCATCACAATAATATTACTATGATACATCACAGTCATTATTGTAATAAAAATGTCCGATTGTATAAAAGATTTGTCTGCGTAGTATTTTATATATTACATATCTTTATTTATATCTAAGTAGTAAAAGAACTGTAAAAAAAAAACTAAACCGAATTAGACTGGAACTGGCTCGAATACCTAACGTGCAAACTCATAGCATGACGCCTAGTCCGCTGCGCTATACTCCTGAATGATGAACCTCAAATAAAACTAAGTGAATGACTACAATGAAACTTAGGGAGCTTGTTAAATTTCAAACCGTAATTTCTCGTAAACGATTAAGAATTGCATAGTCTCCGAATAGCGTTTCCCAGACAGCACTAAATATTTATAAAATATATTTACAAAATATTTATAAAATTTATTTGAATATTTTATAAATATTTACAAAAATATTTCATAAATATTTTTATGACCTTAGTTTCAATATATATATGTATATATATATCGCTCTCGATATTTTTCTCTTTCTGGAACGAAAAGATACGCAGATCTCGTCCCGCCGCCACCTAGTATGCCCTCCTCCGACTCTGGTTCTTGAGTCGTTCACCTTACCTACTACGCCACTGTCACTTTGACTGAAAGATGTTTTATATTGTATACATATGGTATATCTATGTACGAAAACAAATGATTTATTTAAAAGAAGAGAATAGATCTTTTTAAATGTAAAATGTATGTTTAAAAAGCATATAAAAAGTATATTTATAAAATATTTACTTGTTTTAAAAGTAAATAAAATGCAAATAAATCATTTTGTAAATTTAAATAAATTGTTTTTTGATAATAAAAGAAACTTTAATTTGAAACACGAAAAAGATACTTTTAATATTAGAAAATAATTTATTTAAATATATAAAATGATTAACTTGTATTTGATTTATTTTTAAAACAAGCAAATATTTATTTAAATACAGTTTTTATATAAAAAAACTAATTTTCTTTTAATTTTCTTGTAAGGAAATCATTTTTTTTCTACAAATTCATAATTTTACAGCTCATTTTACATATTTAAAAAATTATTATTATACTTTATATTTATTACATATTTTCTAAAATCTAACAAATATTTTTTTAAGTTAAGAAATTATATTTAACAAAATATATTTCTTTGATTTAAAGAATTTTTTTCTATATACCAATTTATATAATATTTCAATACCAATTCTATATTACCAATTTAAATTTCGATTTTCTTATTTCTTCATTAATTTGATAATTTTAAATAATTACATTTATTTTTTTATGTATACTATTTATAGAAATATTTACAAAATATTACTACAAATATTTATTTTTTGTTTACTATAAATATTGTATAATATATTTAGTATCTATATTTTAATAATATTTTAAATAAAGATTTTAATACTTTTTTTCTTTATGTATAGAAATATTTATAAAATATTTATATAATATTTTTAAAAAATAATTCGACATAAATATTTATGAATCTTTATCATAAATTTTGTGTGTTGTCTGGGTTGTTACTTCTATACCAATATTATATTCCTACAAAAGTTCAGTGACCCGAAGAAAAGAAGTTCCTCTTGTGATTGTGTAATATTAGTAAGAAAAAAATTTGTCATATTACAAAACAATATATTACCTTTGAAATATTTTATTCATATTTCAATACAATATATTATGTACCAAGTAACATTATATGATGTTTTAATAACGTAACATTTTAATAACGTAATTAAAATTTTATTTGATATTATTTGTGTTACTTAGGATTTAATATATTACAACAATATTACCATAATATTACTGCGCAATATTACAAATAATATATCAATAATATTACATTATAACATGTAATATTATTGTGATATTGCAATATTACTATGATATTACTATGATATTAATATAATGTGCTATGTGGGTTACAAATCAGAAGTTTGTTGGGTACAGTTAGTTCCTGTTCATCTAATGAGCGACTCAAATTAGCAGCGAACGCTTATGACTCATCAGTCCAGTTCCCTCTTATTCAAACTCCAATGTTGAAAAACATGTTTTTTGTATATATTCATTATTTTATTGAAAGTAAACATATTTTAAAGTTTAGATTATTTTAAAATTTTCGTCTTAACTAGATTTTGGAAAAATTACTATGCGTTCGAATAGCGAAATATATTTTTAAACTCAGAAAATATCAAATATTTCTGCTTCTTATCTTATCTATTCATATTTTATGAGATATACAATGAAAACACATAATTTTATCCTAATTTTGATGCTTTTACTTCTCCCAAAATATATTTTGTTTTTACGTACTATAATAATATATTATATTATAATATAATATATTATTAATATATAATTATAATATAATATAATATAACATATTATAATATAATATTATATTATAATTATCCCACACAGCAGAAATGTTCAAAATACATAGGGATATCTTAGAGATGTTGCGATATCTTCAGGATATCCTAATGATATATTTTGAACATTTCTGCTATGTGGGTATACCTTCTTTCTGAGTGACAATTATTGCATAATTTTTTTCTTCAGCTACCATATAGTTCTATAGTAAAGAATTTCTGAAATAATTTTTCTTATATAAGTTAAATTTCTATAGAAACTATTAGGTGGTAAACTTAGTTCCTGAGGCTCACAGTTAGATGACGTTAGTTGTAGGTGTAATTTATTTTGACATCTGAAACTGACTGCATTTTAGAGGTTAGACATTTGTCAATAAAATTCAGTGCGAAGAGATTCATTTAAGCGAGCAGTGCTATTTTTTCTTTTGATTAAATATAGAACGTGATAAGTTGTTTTTTCGACATGTGCTGCTTCATTACTTTGACTTGAAAAAAACTGCAGCTGCAGCTCATAAATTGCTTTTCGAAGCTTATGGCAATTATGCTCCATCGGAAAGAACATGCCAAGTATGGTTTCAGCGATTTAAGAGTGGTGATTTTGATGTCAATGATAAAGAACGCTCAGGCCAACCGAAAAAGTTTGAAGACACCGATTTGCAGGCATTATTGGACGAAAACTCTACTCAAACGCTCCAAGAATTGTCTGCAGCATTAAATGTTACTCCGATGGCTGTTTCCAAACGTCTACATGCAATGGGAAAAATTCAAAAGGAGGGAAAATGGGTACCACACGAATTAACCGCAAATGCCATTGCGAATCGCTTAAACATCTCTATTTCTCTGCTCGCCAGGCAGAAAAAGAAGAGTTTTTTGTGGCGCATAGTGACTGGCGATGAAAAATGGATATACTTCGATAATCCTAAACGAAGAAAATCATGGGTAGACCCTGGCCAACCATCGACATCCACACCAAAGAGAAATATTCATGGCCACAAAGCAATGCTTTGCATTTGGTGGGATATGCACGGCGTCGTTTATTATGAGCTACTCAGACCGAACGAAAGTATCACGGGGGATCGATATCAATCACAATTAAACCGTCTGAATGAAGCATTGTTGGAAAAAAGGCCAGCAGTAGCCAGCAATCGACGTAAAGTCATGCTTTTGCACGACAACGCTCGACCACACGTTGCCAAAGCCGTCAAAGAAACACTGATGCAGCTCGAGTGGGAAGTTCTCCCGCACCCAGCGTATTCACCAGACTTAGCTCCTTCGGACTATTACTTGTTCCGGTCGATGCAGCACGGCTTGGTGGATACACACTTCAGAAATTACGAGGATGTGCGAAAATGGATCGACGAATGGATTGCATCAAAAAACCAATCGTTCTATCGTCGCGGAATCTACGCGTTGCCCGAAAGATGGGAAAAATGTATAGCTAGCGAGGGAAAATACTTCGATTAATGTATTTTTTTACTTTTGATGTCGAAATAAATGAGTTTTTTAAACAAAAAAACCGCAAGAACTAAGTTTACCACTTAATATAAATTTTTTAGATGCATGAGGCTAATATATGATCTTTTTTTCTCACCCCTTTCTCTTTTTTTCTCTCTCTTTCTCTCTCGCCCTCTCTTTCTCGCTCTCTCTCTTTCCCCAACTTTCTCCAAAAACAATAAAAATAAAATATTCAAAATAAACTTTTATTTAATTTACATGATAATTTGGATATTTGATTAATACTTCAATGAATTTAAGTAAATTTTTCAAAATTTTTTGAACACATTAACGTTATTTAAAAAGATATAAATCCTATTTAAAGCATTTTTTTCTAAAATGCCACTGTTTCTGAGATATTAGCCTGGGGCGATTAAATTGAAACACCTTGTATATTTATATATTTCCGATTGATTATTAGTTACATATATTATTCTTTTTCGATTGGTGCATTTGCAATGTTATTATTCTACTTCTAAATCTCAATAACCATTACTATGACATTATGATGGTGCAATAGTCTGCATCGCCACGAGCAGTCCGACTGATCACCAGTCAGGCTGTAACTAGTGTTTTACGTCACTTAAACATTTCAAATTGCGCGCTCACCGGTGGCCGTGACATCTAACACATGCCACCAGGCATGAGTTACTGACGTCGCTTTGGCGGTTAAAAGGCGGCTGAATTGCAGCATCGAGAGTAGATCGCCGTGAGTTGTTATCTAATTCTGACAGCCGCGATTTCCTTGAATAGCTGCTAGTCGATACCGGGCGTTACCGGCTTACTCTCCGTCCTGAGTCTTAATTCGCTACATAGGAATTCCTGAACTAAACTCAGCGTCTTCTATCGTTCCCGAACAAAAACGAGAACTTGATTTACGCCTCGACGATCCGAGAATAGCTAGTTTGGCGTCTTCGTCAAAAATTCTTGGCGTCCACCGTCGGAGACCACGGATTGCTGCACTCATCAGCTCTACCAAGCTCTTTCAACTCTTCACGGCTCTTCGCGATCGTCTCGTTGACTTCATCACCACATTCGCTCGCGCGTGAAGCCGCGACCGCGCCGCGAGTTTCAACAACACCAATTGTATTAAGACTGCACTAGACATGAGTACCGACCGCGTAGAATTAACCCTCAAATTTCACACTGGTGCGAATTTGCACCAGTAAAAATTTCCCTTTGCTGTTATTTGTCAGCGAGTTAATATATCGCTTTGTCTCCACTACAACAAACTTATTTAGTCCCTACTGTATGTACGATGTAACCGTTCTCGGAGTCATTCCTACCAAAACACGCAAAGTAGCGACTGTGAAAATTCGAGTTGATGCGAATTCGCACCTGTGTGGATATAGCGAGTGCGGAATCGGCGTCAGAGAAATTTTACATTTATTTCTTCAACAAAGTTTTTGCTCAATTTCAATAAAAAATAAGTATTTTTATGTATGTACTAGTTTTTATTACAAATTGAATTTCATGAAAAATATATAAATGTTATTATTTTTTATGCACACTTTTTTCCCTATTGTTTCTTAAGAATACAATTGTAAGATTAACCCTTACCGTGTAACGTCGGGTCACTCGTGCCCTGGCAAAAGTGACTGTCCCCTGTAGCTCGAAGGGGGGTAGGAGAGGCGGGACCAAACTATACTGAAAAAAATTGTATACTACTAAGCTACTAGCTCCCCAAGCGCCGACGGTCTAGTGTGTAAACAGCAGTCGTGAGAGCCAACCAAAATTTTAAAAGTGCACAAGTGACCCGACGTTACATGTTACGTTGATTTAAAATTGCAGGTGAGTAAAATGTTTATTTTAATTTGGATGTTTTTTTTACTAAAAATTTATGTGTTTTCATTAGGAATTGATAAATTAATCTTAGTTATCTATAAATATTAATCTATTAGAGTTTCCTAACCTAACTTTTAAGTAAACACGTGTTCTGTTTTCAAATTTTGATGTGTTTTTATTATTATTGTAAATTGTATTTGATGTCATTTTCATAAATAAAATTGATTAAAAATGAATAAAATGTGTATTTTACTGTAATTTGTACCTATTTACGTACTTTCAAAAAACGTGATTTTGATGCTCAAAACTTAAGCATCCCATTAATTTATACATACTTCTACTACTTTTCTCTTTAAAGTACTATTTTTAAGCTTTAATTTCCCGTTCGAATTTTTAAAATGCATTAATTTTTGACAAAGTTACGATTTTTTGAAAAAAAAAAAATATTTTTCACGTTTTTATTTATATAAATATATTGTTTAAACAAATGAAAAAATCGGGAATATATCGATTGATCCTTAAAGTAGGATAATTAATAAGGTAACATGAATTTTTTCAGATTTTTTAGAACACTTTAATGTACTTTTTTAAGCATCGGACACGAGATACCCGACGTTACACGTTTAAGGTGCCAGAAAAGACGTTACACAGTAAGGGTTAAACGTTTTTCTACCCAGATAGCCCTGCGTAATCAAATTTTGCGCAGAGTCTGTTAACAGTATTTGTGAAAAAAAGATAACAGATTGCACGCAGTATTTGTTTATCAGATTTTAACGGCAAATTAGAGACAGTTTGTTCGTAGAGTCTGCTGACAGACTCTAACGGCAGCAGGATCTGCGCGCATTCTGTCGCCGAACTGTCAGAGCCTGTTCAGCAGACTCTATCGACAATCTAACAGTAGATTGGGGACGCAGATATCTATGGATCTGTCGACAGATTCTGCTCGAATCTGTCACCAATCTGACGTCAGTCTGCGCACAGATTGCTTACTGGGTATACATGTCTCGCATTTATGCGTAGAATGTGCAACAATTAAACGATATTTTCCTACATACGTCTCGCATTTTCATTTATTTTCCTTCTAAAAAAATCCAACTTCAAGCTGACATAAAAAATATTTCCTTTTATTTAATTCAATTTCCAATAATTTTTCCTTCAAGTATATTTTGTTAACTTTAAAAGTCTATATAAACAATTGAATTTTATTAAATTAGAAAAAATACGGTTAAAAAAAGTCATTTTTCTAAAATCTCTCTTACGAAAACCTTAATTTTTATTATTAAAATAAATTTGTCGTGCACAATTTGAGTTTTTTTTTTTATACTACTCGATTCCCTAAAATTTCCTATAAAAAACATATATAACTTAATATTCCTTTATCCTTTATAAAAATATTAAGGACTGAAAACGTAAAAGCTAAATTCGTACTAGTGTGGAAGTTACGGTTGCGCGGTCGGAGTGTGGAATTTGAGAGTTAAGACCGCCGTAGTTATAATATATCGATCGTTTAGGATTAAGACTACATTATAAGTACCAATAGCGTTAAAACCACCTAATTTTAAGACTGCAAATAAGATCAGTGCCGCCCCACCGTCCGCGACACATTACTCACACCGCGACTTGTACTCAAGGGAAGCACAGACTCTCGGATCACCGATTTTGCCGACATGTAGAATTAGTATAGCAATAACAACTGCTATTCGAAAACGGTGCAAGAAATGTTTCCGCAAATTCGCAGTTTAACTCTTACTGGTCACACTTCCTAATCGTACAAGTTGGTCACATGAAGTGTGGCACACCCCAATATCATTTTCGTGTTACCATTTTCACAATCAGATTACATTTTTAAATTATTTAATGGAGTTGATATATTCTTGAAAGTCATAAAAACATGCTCCAATAGTTAAAAAAAATAAATAAAAAATAATATATTTAGATTTAGCGTTAAATTAAGAGTTTTGGAAAAATGAATTTTTTTTCAAAAATTCGCCAAATTTTCAAATAATAATATTAAAGTCTGAAAACTTCAAAACTTTACTGCTTAATACCTGTATTTTTTGAAAAAAAAAAAATAGTTTATAAATGGGTCTTGAAAAAAAGTTATTTCACAGTTTACTACACCCCGTTCCTGCTTTATGGATTGCACACTGACGCCTCGCCGAGTCAACCAAAATGTTCAAACGTATAGTAGAGAATCTTGACTAACGGTTGGCGGCGCCTCTGATCCTATTTTGAATGTTTAAGAGCGCGTAATTTGAAATTGAAAATTGCTTGGGGTGCTGTACATCTTATGTGACCAGTAAGGGTTAAAATTGAGCACGCTCCTTTAGTGCTGTTATAAATCTACTAACAATGGACATTCGGCAACGCAAAAATTAAAAAAAATCTGAAATTTAGCAGAATTATAAAGCAGACAAACTTAATAACGAAACAATTTTTCAGCACTTTTCATAAATAGCAGTAAAATAAATAGTTGCACTAATATATTATAAGCAATTGACTATTTATGAAAATAAGTATATATAGAACAAGTATATATCTGAAGGATATCATATAAATATCACGATATCCCTAAGATATATTTTGGGACATTTATTCTATATATTCATAGAATAGAATGTAAATATTCACTTACATTAATGAATGCATAAAAAAATACCAAATTATTACGCATTGCATGTCTTTTTTATCATTGCTTATAATATGTATAAACTCTAAATCATTTATATGTAATGCATCAGTGCAATTTTTATATAAAAATTTTCGATGTTTGCGAGAGTATTCAAAAGTCTAATATCTAGTAAAATAAGAAAAATTACCGACTAGATAACCTTTCCTAACTAGATGCAGCGCAGTGGAATAAATATAATAGATACATTAATATATGCAAGAATGTATCGATCTCAGGATTAGACGTCCCAGTTTCCGGACTGATATGTCATCTTCATTTTTAATATCTTTATTATTAGTGCAGCCCTGTGTCATGTACTGAATGAATATAAAAAGAATCTGTTGAATTCATTTAAATGTTATTTGAGTAGTGCTATTTGTGAGTAATTTTCAAACAAAATTTTTTCAAGCATTTGTATTTATACGTGATGTCGATAAAGATGGCAAATGTTATAAATTTGTTAATTGTAACATTCAACATTGTAAATTTTGCTATCACTCTTGCCAATCATCGCGAAGTAGTGTTCCATGATACAATTTAATAAGAAATGTAGACAATGATGATGTTGCCATTGAATACGAGTGAGGACTTGATTTTGACGATCCATCAGAACCGCATGATGTTTAATTCGTAGATGTGTATGACATTGATGTTGAAAAAGATAATTATGGAGACGAAATTTGTATTGTGGATAACGAAGGAGGAAATATAAATTTAAAGTATAAAAGTAAATGAGTATTGGAAAAATGGAAAAAAAGTTTCCACTTTCGTCTCTTATTAATGTTTTAGGAAGCATTGTTTTAGGCAACATTGTTTTAGGAAGGTAAAGTATAATTAAAAAATATAAAAAATAATATTAGTTAAATATAAATGGGCATGCGACATTATAACAATAGTAAGTAATAAACATTAATAAGTAAGAATACTGATTTACATCATACGTTTATTTATACTCGAACCGTATTAATTTTCTTATTTCTGACTTTTATTTTTTAAATATAAGGCCTGTTTTATTTTTTAGATAAAATCTATTTTGCAATTATATAGAAAATATTATGCGTGGAGGGTCAAACAGAAACAAACTTGTATTTATCGCCGAATATGTTCTTCTGAAATTTCAAGAAGCTGTTAATAGAGGATCTATCATTCATGACGTACATTTGTGTTTCGTTCCGGAGAAAGAAAAATATCGAAAACGTTGTTTGCTAAGACGGAGAATCGTACCTGGATCTTTCGCTTGCCGAGCGACTACTCTGAACCACTGAGTTACTTAACGCTCCACACTCACGACATAACGTCTCTTCTCCCCACATAACGTTCAGAGATGCTGTTCGGAAACGACATCTCTGATGCTATTCCGCTTGTTCACGTCCATTCTGTTACTTTTTTTTTGTTTCACATAGTTTTTGTACTGTTACTAATAAAAATATGTAATAATACTCAGACAAATTGTCGGTAATCGACAGATTGATATTGTCTGACATTACTGCTCGTTGTATGTTGTGACAAAAAAGTGACAATACAAATATAAAAAATATGTATATATAGGATGTCTCAGACCTCCATGATCACACTTTGCGAGAACGTAGAACAGATTGAGGTGAGCAAGAAAGTCCCATGACGTTTTACTATATTTGCAATAGTTTTCGAGAAATTAATTATTTTATCTAAGCTAATTAGCGCACGGGAAGCGGCAGCCAAAAGAAAGATGTCTTCGGTCGGCGCGCGATCGTGATGCTTGCTATGTCCCTCCGCCCATAACTACGAGGCACAGTCTTGATAAGCCTTGCTGTAGCGAGGCTAACACATATGCATGACATATCCGTGTGCCAAATCGACGCCGAATCTAAGAATGTGTTGCCGCTTCGCTGTTTCACCTCTACATACACGTATGCAGCCGAAGCGACGACACGCTTCAGCACACGACACGATTCAGCACACGGATATATCATAGCTATGGGCAGAAGGACGCAACGAGCCGCAATTCGCGAGTGTCACAATCGCGCGCCGACCGAAGACATTTTTCTTTCGGTTGCCGCTTCCTGTACGCTTATTAGCTCAGACAAAATAATTAATTTCTCGAAAACCATTGCGAATATCGTAAAACGGCACAGGACTTTCTTGTTCACCTCAATCTGTTTTATGCTCTCGCAAAGTGTGACCATAGTGGGATATCCTGTACATATATGTATATATATTATATACATATATAATATATATATATATATATATATATATATATATATATACAGGGTGTTCGGAAAGTACCGGGACGCCCGAATATCAGGAAAAATATAAGTTTTACAAAAAAATGTTTCAGACAAAAGTTGTGGCGTTTAAAAAGATGTATTTACTGATCACATCAGTTTGACCTTGGGTTGCGTAGCGAAGGTCAGGTCAAGGTCACATTAATTTTTTTAAATGGAACACCCCATTTTTCATTGCATATTCTTATAGCACATCTCGAGAGCTTTCCAAAACGCTATAATAAAATATTTTTTCATGAAGTACTTTTCAAGTTATAATGCTTCAAAGTTAGAGGATCGCCGGCATTAGCATTTTTACGAAGAAATGAAAATAAACGGAACAACCTCCAATGACCTTGATCTTGAGAATTAGATCAGAAGGGCTATCTTTTGACATAAGGGGTACCAACCCCCCTCCCTCACCTCTCATGTTTGGGGTGCTTGATTATCGTGAGTCCCCTCGCCTCTCACGTTTGGGGTGCTCGTGCGATCACCCGTACAAATCGGCAACAGCGAACTTCTCGCACTTGTCGCACAATGTATTATTAAAAAATGATATACGAATCAAGCACTCCAAACGCTACAGGATATTCGACTTATTTAATTAATTAATTAATTATTTTAATGCGATACCGAAGCTTCATGCACCGTTCTCATCTTGGCGCAACTGAGCTTGATCAAAATAAAATTTATGCAGTTTATCTCAAGTGGTTTCCATCATAATTTAATTCTTTAGAGACGCGTTACTTCGATTATAACAAATACTTATCGAGAGAGCTTTACGTTTAAAAATGCAACATCTAAATGAGCGTGAACGAATATCTATTTTGATGATGCGTGGATGGGGTGATCGCCATAGATCTTATAAGGAGGTGGCTCTCTTATTCAAT